GCAGAGTAACTGGCAGATTCTGGTCTGTGAACCGACATTGGCTTCCACTTCACTAAATAAGTTATTCCTAGGTCAGGGAGCAGAATAAGCATGTACTGCCAGACCTCTCACATTGTCTCATTAATGGACAAAAATGTGTTTTCCTCGTTCTTGTTTCCTCAGGACCTAACATTATGTTACAATAGGCACTAAACAGATGCCTAAAAGGCAATTATATCTAAAGTATTTGTCTACAAATCCGATATATTGTTCAGAAAAAAACAACAGAACTGAATTTCAAAGTGGCCTACAAAAGCAGTTAATCAAAACTCATTCAGCTGGAATAGCAATTTTGAAGGGGCATAAACAAACAGTCACTATGTTTAAAATTTGACTTGTCATATTCCTCCATAACCCATTTCTCACTGTGTAATCTCTGTTTCCTTAATGGCACTACCATTTTCCCTCTCTCTCAAATTTAAAATGTAGTCATCTTTAAAAAAACAAAAAGTCATATTTGATTCCTCTTCCTCACATGCAGTTTTTTGCTAAATCCTACTCTCCTAAACACTAATAATTCTCACTGATTCTATTACCACTACTCTTGTCCAGAATTACTTCTCTCCTGGACTACTTTTATGGGCCCCTGACCTCTCCAGGCATCCTCTCTATCTGCTAATTCAGGTTACACATGCATAACTGCCAGTTTCATTTTCCTAAAAACCAAGGCTCTGATCTTGTCACTCTTTTACTCCACAACTTAATAGGTTCCAAATAAAGCTCCAACTCCTAAGTGTGCATACAATACATCCATATCCATATCCTGCATCATTCCATTATCGGCCCATTTTACTCACCACCCCCGTTGTCACATCAAATTCATTTTTTCTGATAATTGCACGTGCATTTAAGCTTTCCCCCATTATGTTCCTTATGCCATGCTACCCTCCTCCCTGGTCCCTTAAAAGACATCCCCAACAGCACTGGTTTTCATCTAGGGGTTTGCCCCTAGGGGCATTTGGCAATGTTTGGAGGGGACATGTGACAATGTTTGGAGACAGCAGGAGTTGGAGGCTAAGGATGCTGTTAAACTCCCTACAATGCACAGGACAGCCCCCCACAACAAAAAATTATCTGACTAAAAATGTCAACAGTGCTGAAGTTAAGAAACCCTGCCCAACAGATTATTCCCTTATCCTGGCATATAAAAGTAATGTCTCTGTTCTCTAAAAATTCCCAATGTAACGTGATGTATTTATCCAGCGTTGCATTATTGCTAAATCTTACACCCCTTATCTCCTCCCCTCTATGCTCATGATGCTTTTATTCAAAGATTATTTACTGAGCATCTGTTATGTCTATTAGATGGCAGTCCCAGATAGTAAGCACAAGCACAGGTACCATATCCCAATTATTTCCAGATACCCTATCATGTCTTGCATGCTGAAGGTCTGCAATAAGAATTTGCTGAAAGAGGGCAACTCTCTCTGTGCTTCATTTTGTACCTAAAAACTCAACAATTCTGATATTAATGTACAGGAAGAAAGAGGTTACATACATCTATTGACATCTACTAAAATTCAAAATGGCCATTTCTACGTTTCTCACTAAAAATGAAATTAACAGGGGGGCACCTGGGTGGCTCAGTCGTTAAGCGTCTGCCTTCAGCTCGGGTCATGATCCCAGGGTCCTGGGATAGAGTCCCGCATCGAGCCCAGCATCTGGCTCCCTGCTTGGCTCCCTGCTTGGCGGGAAGCCTGCTTCTCCCTCTCCCACTCCCCCACTTGCGTTCCCTCTCTGTCAAATGAATAAATAAAATCTTTCAAAAAAGAAAATAAATTAAAAAAATAAAAAATAAATAAAAATGAATTAACAGGGGTCATGAACCCACTGAACAAGTTGTCAGTTAAAAATATTTCATAATAGGGGCACCTGGGTGCCTCAGTCGTTAAGCATCTGCCTTCAGCTCAGGTCATGATCCCAGAGTCCTGGGATCGAGCCCTGCATTGGGCTCCCTGCTTGGCGGGAAGCCTGCTTCTCCCTCCCCCACTCCCCCTGCTTGTGTTCCTTCTCTCACTGTGTCTCTCTCTGTCAAGTAAATAAATAAAATCTTTATACAAAAAATTAAACCTCTAACAATTAAAATCAACATTAAATAACTTAATAGCCTGAAAAGGACTTTCATAAACTATTCTAGTATGCCATAAAATATGCTTAGCTATGTATATTACCTTATATTGGTACAATAATTTTAGTTTTTCCAATAATATATCTTAGCCTTTTCCTGAAAAAATAAATAACTGCTGGAGAATATCTTTTAAACAGTGGGTAAGAGCCAATATAGTCCAGGTGCTCAATTAACTTAATGAAAACCCTTCCTCCCCTCAAATTTCATACATTTGTCTACATCTGAAAACAAAAGAGGAATAAAAATGATCTCTAAGGCCAAATGGGGAAGTAATGTGAAAACGTACTATAAACGATTAGGCCTCCAGCAAATACTACCATTCCTCAGTATAACACAAAGGGAAGTACATAGACTTAACAAGCAGAATGGGATTGGAATTTCTACTTAGTAGCTGTGTAGTTCTGTGAGAATTAACTTACACTTTTAAGCACAATCAAAAATGAAAATAATGCCAAGGTTATTGTGAGACTTAAAGGTTAACATTTACTAAATACCTAGAAGGGGCGCCTGGGTGGCTCAGTCGTTGAGAGTCTGTCTCCCTTTGGCTCAGGTCATGATCCCAGGGTCCTGGGATGGAGCCCCACATCGGGCTCCTTGCTCCGCGGGAAGCCTGCTTCTCCCTCTCCCACTCCCCCTGCTTGTGTTCCCTCTCTCGCTGTGTCTCTCTCTGTCAAATAAATAAATAAAATCTTTAAAAAAAAAAAAATGCCTAGAAGACAAAAAAGCTACTATAGTTTTAACATTCATTCAACAAATCACTCCCTGGCTGAAATCCCTCCAACTACCACAGTAATCAGAAGAACTCAAAACTCCACATGTAAACATACAAAATCCTACAGGATCTGGCTTCTCTCTCTCTGACCTAATCGCCCACTCTTGCACTTGCTCAATGCGCTCTAGACATCCTTATAGCCCCGAAACAAGCCAAGCACTTTCCATCTCTGCCCTCTGCTTATTATACAGATCTCTGCACTGCCCACTCAATAGTCAGATCTTGGTTCAAAGCTCCCAAGCCCTCTTGACCACCGAAGTCATTACTCAATGCCCTTACTGCCCACTTTCTACCCCATTATCTTGTTTTATATTGCTTTTTCCTGCACTGAAATTGGTAACTTCAATTTCTTTTCCCTTAGTATGTAAACCTGAAAGATAGGACTTTTGTCTTTTCAACCCTCTATCTCCCAGACCTAGCTCCAAGGCCGGGCTAAGGCAGGCGAGTGGGACACCATCACTCAGGTGCAAAACTTAAGGGGATGCCCAAATTTCAGTAATCCAGAAAAATACTAATTTAAAGCAACATTCTAAAAGATGAAAAGTAATGCAAAACACCATGATGAATTCATTATCACAATTCTGCACAAAGCGGATCCACCCAGCACTTGCAGAACTCACCCCATCTCAGCCCTGCCTCACCAGGACTTGCCACCAATTTAACTGAACACTCAGCCGTAAGCCAAGTATTAACTCTCCCTAAGGCTGCAGAAAAGCAAGAGGGAGAGCCGCAAAGACCGAGATTGGGCTTTTTGGAGCTTACACCCCGTGGCTTCACTGGGCTGTGGCCAAAAAGCTGAGTGCAAGGAATGTACTCTCACCACTTAAGTGCACACTCTGAAAAGTTCAGCATGACTAATAATATGGTGCCAGTTGTCATCGAAGACTTAATAAATACTTCGACCCATTCCCCTGCCATCACTAAAAACATCATTCCCTTGCCTTGAGGGCTCCAGCCCTAGGGTGTGGGAACTGGAACTCTTACGGCAGGACGTTTTATAAATTTATTTTGTTGCAGGACTACTGTCTCTTGCGCTTGGACCCTGAAGTAAATAAACAAAAACCCACAAAAGCGTCGATACAAATTTAATAAACTTAACGTCCGTATAAAGCAGTGGTGGCTGGAGAACTGTGGTTGAAAATACAAATAAATACGCTTACAAGAAGTGACTCCCACCATCACCCCCGCGGGAAGGCCCTTGGGAGACGCGGCCCCAGGTCTCCTGCCATACCAACCGCTAGACCCGCCATACGCGCAGGAAGCCACGCTCATCCACCCACTGCCGCCCGCTCCTCTGCCCGAGAGAAACGCGGGGGTCCCCAGCGCGCAAGCGCCACCCCGCCAACTCCGCAGCCACGGCCCGCCACAGACGCCTGCGCAAACGCAGAGGGCAGAAGGAGGGGCGAAACGGAGAGGGAGAGAGGAGCGCGCCTAAATCCTAGAGAGGCGGGCTAAGAAGGGCTGGGGGGTGGGCTCGTCTTCCGGAAAGTTTGGATTCCCGGACGTTCGGAGTCGCCGCTCACCAAACACCCGCTTGTGTGCTGATCGAAGAAAGTCGGCTACCCTTTGTACCCACTGGAGATCTTCAGACAGAAGCCGGAGCTGCCTTCAGGATGAAATTGGGACTTGCAGGAAACCTCTTCCCAAGACGGAAGGAAGCTTGGCGGGTTCACGCATGCGTGGTAGGCTACCTCCACGTGCGGCCTGGCCGCGGCCTCCCCGCGCTGGGAGGCCTGGCCCCTAGGCCCGCCCCCTATCTCTGCATCTTTCCGGACGCGCGGGGCCGGGAAGAAGGAGGGAGGTTGGGCCTCACAGCTCGGCCCCGCCCCGGCAGCCTCCAATTGGGCGTGGGTGAGGACGCCCCCCTCCCGCCGCCTTCCTATTGGAGCGCGCGTGCGAGCAACGCACCCCATTGGGTCGTACGGATTTGGGCACCAAATTCAAAGATTTTAAAAGTACCAGCTGGCGCCTTTTAGGAGATACAGTTCTGTGAATCGGACGACCGGGTGTTCTGCTGTGGTAGCTGTTTCCTCACCTGAGGCGGACCCCACTTCCACTGGCATGAGCCAGCGCCCTTGCCTCTGCTCCCCACGGCCGCCCTCCAGCTCCTGCCGCTGCAGCGCCCTGACAGCCGCCGGGCGCCCTCGCCCCTCAGACGGTGAGTGAGGAGGAGAGGGTGCGGGGAGCACGCGTTCCAGGAAGGGGGTGCGCGGTTGGGGAGCAGCTACGACCGAACCCGACCCCCTCCCGAGTCCGGGCGTGCGCCCCACGCCGGGCCGGGCCGAGCGGGCGTCGGCGGCGGTTCCTGGGGTAGGGGGGGAAAGAAGGCTGGGGCTCAGGGAGGGGAGGCCGTAAGTGCGAGGCGAGTGGCGGGCCCGGGTCCCTCCTTCCACGCGGAACCTGGACGCCAGCTCCGAAGGAGGTGAAGGTCTCGGTCTTTCAGGGCGCCCTTTTCCCCTTTCAGGATCTACCTATCCTTGTCCCCACCCCGCTTGAAGAGGCGCCAAATGCCCCCTCCCCTCCCCCACCTTGGGGCCTGGGCTCTGACAGGGCTCGCGAGCCGCCGGCCCCCGGAGTCTGGCCAGGTGCCTGAGCCCCACTCCCTGCGCCCCTTTGCCGTATTTACCCCGCACCCTCGGCTCCGCAGGCAATTTCCCCGGGTTTTCGCCGCCTCACTCTTGCTGGCGGGCGCGGGAGATCCTGCTGGCTTATCTCCCGCCTCCTCCACCCGGCCCGCGCCCTGAGGGGCCACCTCTTCGACCCCTTAGGATTTCCATGGTCTTACCCCTACCCACTCCCGCCAAGTGGAGGGACCCCCTCATCGGGCCAAGCTGTACAAGGATGTCCAAACAAAAACATTCTTTTTTTTTTTTTTAAGCCCCCCTCTCCATTTTTCCCTTTGCCCAGTAACTCGTTTTCAAGGCCTGGGGTCAAAAGGAGGAAGGCGGGGGCGGGGGGAGCACTTTTTAATACAAAACGGTGAATTTGCCCTTATGTAGCCGATTTTCCGAGAATTGAAGAATTATTTTTTTTCCTGCGCTCCTGAAGAACTAGATAGCCCTTTATTCCCAAACTCGGTTAGAGTGGAAGGCACTCAAACGGATATTTTCATCCTCTTTGTTGCTATCTGAAAAGAGATCCAAATGCATTTATTTTGCCTCGGAAAGTACCAAAATTTTTTTTTTTTTAATTAGCGATTCGATTTTGTGATATTTGGCAGTCACTGAAAGATGCTCCTTTCATTAGAAAAGGAGTCTAGAAAACTCGAGGAAAAAATAATTTTAACAGGTTAAATCTATTTCTAGAAGATCCTCAGTCAAAAGCCTCCTCATGAAGTTCTGAAGCTTGATGGTTTTAAGAAGTAGTATTTTGATTATTTAATCCAGTCGTCTGGTATTACCACCTTGCTCCTCAGAATATTTGCTATCTCAACGAATTTTATTCCCATTTTACAAATTTGAGAAAATGAGATTAAAAGCTTATTGCATCCAAGTATTTTTGAAGGCGGGCTTTCCTGAAATTTCTCTTAGAGATGGCTGATTTGCAGTTTATGGCTGCAAGCCTTGGGGGTCTCAGACTCTTAAGGAATAGCCATGCCTAACATTGGGCACATGGTGATAATCTTATAATAGGTATTGCAGATTCTAGAACTTAATCATTTAACATTGGGATAGTTGTAAAAATTTTTAAGCCTTGTAGTCTATTTAACTATGGGTATTTTAATATGGAGCGTTTGCTCTGACTTGGAAAGTTAAATGGAAGTCAAACTTTGTACAGATAACTCTAATACCACCTTTTCATGATTGGACAGTGTGTTGGTAAATGAGATTTTTAAAATGCAGCATGTTGAATCTTCACCCAACAACATGAGGGAGATATTAGTATCTCCATTTTAAAGAAAAAATGAAAGGAACTAATTGAATATTTTATGTCACAAAGCTAGTCAAACGACTAAGCAAATATTTTTACTTGAAGTTGGATCTGATTCCTAGAAAAAGTATATAATCTGGAATACAGTGTGGAATGTATTTTGCTACTTCTAAAATGTTTGTGATTTGCAATAAAAGCATTATGAAAGGATTTGGTTTAAAAATGTGATAAAAATACCATATGTGATGGGACTCTGCCGTACATTTAGTCCAGTTTTATGTTCTTAACCCCATTTTGGAGATGAGAAAACAGGCTTTATAAGTTAACTGCCTCAGTTTTCCCTGATTCAGCAAATAACACTATACCTTAGATGCTGAAGACTTAAACCCCAGGGTATTTTTTTTTATTTCACTTTCTCTCATTCAGCATCCAAAGCATCAGCAAGTTCTGTTGACTCTCCTAAATAGATCTCAGATCCATCCAATTATCTTCATTTCCACTGCAGTCATCCTGGTATCAGTTACCCAGCTTCTGGACGCCTGTGATACACACTACTAACTAGTCTTCCTCTTTCCACTTGTACCTTCCTACAGTCCATTCTCTACAGTTGCCAATGATCTTTTGAAAATGTAAACCGGATATCTCAACTCAACCCCTCAAGACTCTTTATTACACAGTGAATAAATCCAACGTACGCTGAAATTCTACAGACCATTCTACCTCTCCAATTTTAAATTATATTACATAATTAAAAAAATAATAAAGTATGTTACATAATTTCACACTTTAAAACTAAACCTACAACCAGGATCCAGATTTTGGAACCAATAAAAGGAACCAGAGTTCTTGGAGAAATAAGTAATTCTAGGGCTGGAACAGGAAAAATACAAGATGAGCCTAGAGGATCTTTTCATGCCAGAAAGTAAGAAATGCTCCAAAAACGAAATAATGGAAGTATTTCAAGTGGACATGAACTTAACAGTAGTGAAAGCTGAAACAATTTGATCAGCAACATTAATAAGGCAATATTGGATTATAACCCAAAGTCTGTGAACCTATTGTATACTTTTTTATATACTTTTATCTCACTTTCCAAGTGAGGTAGTGGAATGAACACTGAATTTGTAGTCAGTAAGGGTAATCTGTCTCTCTTAACTACGTGTCAGAGTGTGGGCAAGCTACTTAACTGAGCTTCAGTGTCCTCATTTGTAAAAAGAAGGTAATAATACCTCTTCATCCTACATCAGAAGGTTGTGAGCAAGTGTTTGAAAACAAATTGGAATCGTAAACTTCTAAATAATTATAAGATGTTTGAATCATCATTAAGTCTAAGTTTTAAAGAGCTGTTCATATTCAAAGTGTGGTATTGAATGAAAGGGTTCTACAACAAACATAGTTTCCTAGTAACTGGGTTCTAAAAATGAGCAGAAGAGGGGCGACTAGGTGGCTCAGTCAGTTAAAGCACCTGCCTTCGGCTCAGGTCATGATCCCAGGGTCCTGGATCAAGCCCCACGTTGGGCTCCCTGCTCAGCTGGGAGCCTGCTTCCCCTACTGCTGCCTGCCGCTCCTCCTGCTTGTGCTCTCTCCCTTTCTCTCTCTCTCAAATAAATAAGTAAAATCTTAAAAAAAAACAACAACAAACTTATGAGCAGAGGAAGAATGCCTTTGAAAAGAATTAAGTTTCTGAAGTACGGTTTCAGGCCTCTTCCCTTTAGGCAACTAAACAGTAAAATATGTCTTTGTAGGTGGCTTCTACTTTTTTATCCTCAAATAGAATGTGGCTGTATGTAAGTTGTACTTAATTCTTGAGGCAAAAATTAAAACAATCTCTTGGAATTTTTTAATCTCCTGGGTGGAAGACAACCACTCAGAATAATTTGTTCTAGAATTATGGTTAATGTTGGTGTTAGAAAATGTATATTCTTTATTTGCTTTTTATGTCCTTGAACTTAGTTTGAAACTAGTTTTTAGGGCTACTCCAAGGTTTAATGGAGTCCTGGAGCATATACTCTGTCTTTTGCTGTGTTAAACATTGGGAATTTAAAGAGACTACCTACCTACAGATGTCCTTTTAGTACTTAAAGGTTTTGCTCTAAATAAAAACTGTAAAATTAACATGGACAGATTACCAATACTTAGTACAGACTAACCACACTGACTGGTACATACACTGACAGGATAAATTGTTAACTACCTATGATTGGCTTGCAGGGGGAATAGTAGGTATGGAAGACATTTGAAGCATCTGCAGTTCATATACTCTGCCTTCAATAATACTAAGTAATTTTCCTGAACCCATCTACTATATTCCTTCTCAGAATTGTGCTTTTGCTCAAGTTAACCTTCAGTGAATGCTTTTTCCAACCTCTACTTCCTGACAAAATCCTAGTCATCCTTTAAAGCAGTGGTTCTCAACTGAGGAATGGCAGAGATTTTTGACACCACTGCCTCCCCCAACCCATCATTTGTCAATGACTGGTGACTGGAGACATTTTTTATTGTGCTTCAGGTGGTAGGGGTTGCTAATGACATCAAATGGGTAAAGCCTGATGAACATCCTAAAATGCCCAGAACAGCCCCCAACAACAAAGAATTATCCAGTCTAAAATGTTAGTAATGCAGAGATTGAGAAACATGGCTGTAATATATTTTTAAGTGCTGCCTGTTAATTGTAGCTTGGCTGATTTCTTTAGGCCATGGGGGTGTTGATACAACCCTAAACAAGTCTTTGGCTTTTTTAAGCTTAAATTTGAATTCTGTGAAGTGTGAATTCTAATGAATAATATCCAGAAATAATTGCATGGTTTGCTAATAGTATCATTATTGGTTCTTCCCTTTTATGCTACTTATCATAAATAGCAAGTGCATTATCTTCTCTAGTTATTTAAAACAACTGAACAGTAATGCACACTTGCTGCCCAACCACCCTCACATTCTTATATCTTATACTGATTATAGTATTGTTCTTATTTACCAAATCTTCTGATTGGTACCTGAACTATTAATTCCTCTGGCTCTTTGGTTAATTAGTCATGAGAAATCTTCGTTCAGTAATTGAAGATCTCGGAGTTTCTATTTCTAGCACGTAATAGAGGAGATAAAGGGAGATGTCCCTGTGCTTGAGTTCACTATCCAGCAGAGTAGACAAACACCTTAATTATATCAGACTCACCCATACCACTGATCCAGATAAAACTTAGAAAGTTGTGGGAATTCAGGTAGATTTTAACTGATCGGTGTTTAAATTTACTGACTTTGAGTTCTTTCTCTAAGCTTACTTACAGATTTCTTGATTAATTATTGTAAGGCTTATAATAAACGGCTAATGTCTAAATCTTAAACATTTCTTACTTTAAGGATTTCTCTGACTCCAGACCCCACTGAATGCATCACATTTCCTTATTTGTTCCATAAGTACAGATAGGTGTTAAATAGTCCCTTTTTCCAATATTTTTTACTCAATCAGCTGGAGACTCTCAAAGTCAAATGTTACAATTATGCACTAAAAGCAATCTTTTGAAGTCCCCTTTTAAGAATAAGATGTACTGGGGGCCTGGGTGGCTCAGTTGGTTAAGCGACTGCCTTTGGCTCAGGTCATGATCCTGGAGTCCCTGGATTGAGTCCGGCATTGGGCTCCCTGCTCAGCAGGGAGTCTGCTTCTCCCTCTGACCCTCCCCCCTCTCATGTGCTCTCTCTCTCACTCTCAAATAAATAAATAAAATCTTAAAAAAAAAAAACGAATAAGATGTACTCGGGCGCCTGGGTGGCTCAGTTGTTAAGCATCTGCCTTCCGCTCAGGTCATGATCCCAGGGTCCTGGGATCGAGCCCCACATCGGGCTCCCTGCTTCTCCCTCTCCCTCTCCCCCGCTTGTGTTCCCTCTCTTTGCTCGCTCTCTGTCAAATAAATAAATAAAATCTTAAAAAAAAAAAGAATAAGATGTATGTACTTAACTAAAAGATTTAAGTACTATTTCCTCATTGTCACATCTCAGTAAATAAACTTGAATAATTTCATAGCTACATAGGTAATGCATAATACTGAGAGAATGGAAAGTAATTTTATCTCTGTATATCCCAATTTAAGAAGTAGAGATGTATGAAAATTTTGTCATTAAGTAAATGGTTTTTTGTTGTTTTGTAGGTTGTAAAGAAGAAAGTTCTACTCTTTCTGTCAAAATGAAATGTGATTTCAACTATGACCATATTCATTCTGGACTTAAATTGGTAAAGCCTGATGACACTGGAAGACTAGGTTCCTGTCCTCCTGCATATTTGGAAAGTTCTTATGAAGACTGTATTAAGGACTATGTAAGGTTATCAGATATTGGGTCACCAATTGTGAGCCCCAGGATTGTAGAACTTGAAACTGAAAATGAAAACAAGCCCTTTCATAACAAAGAAAATCAACATGTGCAACAAATACTTAATAGTTCAAATGAAATAGAAGAACTAGAGACCAGTAGACCTTATGAAGACAGTGGCTATTCTTCATTTTCTCAGCAAAGTGGCTTCAATGAACATGAAGAGGGTAGCCTTCCCTTGGAAAATTTCAGTGACAGTCCACAATCCTGCCTACAGATGCAAAGCCCAGACCAATATCCCAGCAAAAACTTGCTGCCGGCTCTTCATTTTGCAAAAATGGTTTGTTCAACATTAAAAAAGAATGCCAAGCAAAATCCTAAAATAGATGGGGAGAAACTAAAGGAATTTATATCCAGTGAAAATTTTAAACTGCAGAATATAATTGGCAGGAAGATGGGCCTAGAATGTGTAGATATCCTCAGTGAACTCTTTCGAAGGGGACTCAGGCATCTCTTAGCAAATATTTTAACACAACTCAATGATATGGACTTAATCAAGTAAGTATGATTACTTTTGAGTGTTAGGATAATCCATTGAACATTTTTGTTGGATGACTTGGGACTACCAACTCACACAAAGACACAATAGGGTAGTCTTTTGCATTGTTTAATTGAGGTAATGACTGCCTGATGGCTGGTATCTGACCATTTATATGCCACTAAGATGAAAGAAAGATAATTTTTTAAGTAAACATTTAATTCAGTAATTTCACATTTCATATTTGCAATATTAGGAAACTATTTTTGTTAAATTGGGATTTTTGTTCCTTTTCTGAAAATTTCTAATATATAAGAAATTTTCAGCTATATCATACATGCTTAACTATAAAACAACATCCTAATTCTGGTATATAGGACCAGTAGGCTTTATGACTTCTGTCCTACTTGAAAGTAAGAAATAGTTGCTGATGTTTGTAGGCCATTTTTAATGTAGGCTCTCCTTGGTTTGACAGTGAAAATATGGAAACCCGCAAATGATCTGATTTTGACTATTTCTTAGAAACCTTATCCTTCCTCATTCCACCAAAGATCAGTTAGGATGAGGTAACAGAATTAAGTTAATTAATACAGACCACTGGATTAGAGCCTGATCAATCAGATTCATTTTTAGCTTTTTGAAAAAAAATTTAGAGGTACTCTGCAAGTGTTACTTCACACTGGTCTTTACGAAATATAGCTAAAGCAAAACAAAAGTGAGTATGGATTTTTATTGTTGGCTAGCTTCTTGGGGGATAATTGACATCTAGGTTGTACTTTTGTTAACAAAATGCCTTTTTGAAATTGATGTCTACTGATAGCAGTGTGTCCTACAGTACTTTGAAATTTGGCTACAACTTTTATTGATACTGAACAGCTAACATGGTGTCGTATGTACAATGGGGGCTACTTATTTGGTGTTTGCAGATGTTGTGAAAAAATGAAGTACAAAGCAATGGTTCTTAAGCCTGAATGCTCTTAGAATGACTTGATACGGAGCTTTTAACAATAAGCCTGGTCCCCTTTTTAAACCAATAAACCCAAATGACTAGGCCTGGGGCATTCTAAAATCTTAAGTACCTCAGGCAATTCTAATGTAATAAACAGGTTTGAGAAGCACTACTAATAGAAATTTCTTTTTTGCCCTGTTAATGTTTTGTAGTATATTTATTCCTTTTAGCTCTTTGTGATGCTTTAACTGTTTATAATCTTTTACTTTTCCAGTATGTCTAAAGTGAGCACAACTTGGAAGAAGATTCTAGAAGATGATAAAGGGGCATTTCAGTTGTACAATAAAGCAATACAGAGAGTTACTGTAAGTCTTTGCAGTTGATGTTTTCATTTTAAAATATAACAGCTAGTGCTCTTTACCTTTACAAATAGGGAAAACTGGGACAGATAACAGGTAATCTGGAAATCCTTTACATTCACAAAGCATTTCTGCTTTTCACTAGAACTCCTTAAACAAAATTCAAAGATAAAGGAATCCCACCTAAGTCATTTATTTCTTGAGTTCTTCCTAGAAATGGAATGTCCAAAAGGGAAAATTGGTCAGTTCTCCAATAATATGAGTTGACCATATAGCTAATCTTCATTGCCATTTGTATTTTTTCAGTTAAATTTTCAACATATTGAAGATTTTTAGTGCAGAAGGGAATTCATTTGCCTTCCAAAATGAACTTGGTAAATTTGGAGATGTTTCTGAGGGTATCAATCAATGCATGTTTGAAATTTCAGGCCTAGCCGTTGGCAGACTTGGGTCTAAATTTTGGTGCTGCTACTTATATGCTGTATAACTTTAAAGTCAAGTATTGCTTAAGTTCTCCGAGTTCAGAGTCTTTATTGATAAGGTGGTATTAATGGAAAATTTTCTAATCTAAAAGGTTTGGAATCCATTCATCACACTGATGTGACACTTAAACATGACTTGCCATTTACTGGTGGTGAAAAGAATGACTTTGTTTTGGCATTAGTACTTTATAAATGATGTACTTAATGCTATATAGGCTAAGTATTTAAAGTGCTTTCTCACAATTTCTGGTTTGCAATTTCTGTCAGTATTGTCTATGTGTATAGTGTGTGGCTGTATTTAAAGCATGTGCAGGTAAATTGGATGTACAGATAAATTTTTACATTCTCATTTGCCCTTTTTTACATGTACAAACTAAAAATGCCTGATTGTTGAGAATAAAACAGAGTATTTTTAAGTCCTGTTAAAACATTTCTTTTAATTAGGAGAAGAACATTAAGTTTTCACCACATGCTTCAACGAGAGAATATGTTATGTTCAGAACCGCATTAGCTTCTGTTCAAAAATCAGCAGCCCAGACTTACACCCAAAAAGGTGCTCAAACCAAGTTACCCGATCCAGGTGATCAGAAAGGTTCTACTTACAGCCGACACAATGAATTCTCTGAGGTAATTTTTTGTTTGTCAATAAATTAGAAATTTACGGGACACTTATTGTTAAAAGGATTTAGAGTAAGAAACAGAGAACTTTAAATTTAATTGTAGCATAATTAGAACTACTAGGGAATTGTTAATGGGGATTTTATCTTATATCCCCTTCATTCTACTGTCAGAAATGTTTGCCACCAAGAAACCATTTCAAGTAATTGATTTCCTAATTCAAGTAATCAAATTAGGAAAATACACAAAGATGTCTTTCTATGTAGAAAATAGATGACATTGCATTTGACCGTTCAGTGATGTTAGGATCTAATTCGGAAATACTAAGAGAACCTTGATTTTAAAATTTCTTACCAAACTGTTCAATATACATTTTACAGTTGCTGCCTTTGATATCTGATGAACAGAACTAAACAGAAAAAGGGCCAGCTTTCAGAAATTGAAGCCTTCCTATTGTACCTTCAAATCATTGGATAATGTGCATTATAAGCTCTACTCAGCACATGGATAATTTGGCAAGCTTAATTTAAGAAACCATAATCTTACCTAAGAGTGCATATTTGAAATAAAATGTTGACTGCTGACTACCTTCATGTTGGTCAGTTAAGTATGGGTTATATATAGTGAAGTTTAATTTTCTGTCTTAAGTGTTGATGATGTAATTACTAATACAACATGTAACTTTATTCAGAAAACATATTGAGCATCTGCTGTCAGGTAATTCATGGATCAGAAAACATGGCACCCTTCATAGCCTTGCAATCTAGAATGGACAATGGCTACATAAAATTAAATGCCATATAATGTGATAGGTGCTTCTAAAAAAAAGAAGAACTAGAGGTTAAAGAGCAACCAACTCCCAAGTGACACTAGGAAGGCTTCACAGTAAAGGTGACATTTAAGTTAGGGCATTGATGTGTAAGTAGCATTCATGGAATAAAAGAGAACATACTTAAAAGTAGCATTAGGAAATAGCCACTAGATCAGTTGACAAGTGATAAATCTCACTCATTGAACAGTGAGCTCCTTAAGGGCAGGAGTTGTCTTATGTGTGGCATGGGTCCTTTATTCATATATTGGGGAAGGTTCAGGGGTACCTTTCTTGTTTTTTTCTACCTAAATTACATTCAGTCCTCACTAAAATTTGTTTATGGATTTTCTTCTTTCTAGGTTGCCAAGACTTTGAAAGGGAATGAAAGCCTTAAAGCCTGTATTCGCTGTAATTCACCAGCAAAATATGATGGCTATTTACAGCGGGCGATCTGTAAAAGAGAAGGCTGTGGGTTTGATTATTGTACAAGGTGTTTGTGTAATTATCATACCACCAAAGAATGTTTGAATAGCAAACCCCTAAAAGCCAATTATAAAATAGGTCCTCTACCTGGTACTAAAAAAAGCAAGAAGAATTTACGACGATTGTGATGTCTTGAAATCAATTGTACCTGATCATGAAGGTTAGAAAATGTTAGGTTTTAATTTAAAAAACGTAAATGTATTTTCATTTCCAATTTTGTGTTGAAATCAATGTAGTACATGGGATTTTTTGCCCTGGTGAATAAAGAGAGTATACAGCCTCTTAAATATTTTACAATTTAATGTGAAAAAGTTTAAAATTTGGTATAAATCAGAAAATTAAAATATTTTAAGGAAAAAGGAAAACTATCTGATATTTGTGATTCAGGGATAAAATAAAACTGATTCAATTTTTATGCTAAAGGAAAGCCATGTAATTTTACCTAGATAATCTTTAAATATATATCTTGTTTACCATCTAGTAGCATTTGAGACATTTTATTTGCCTTACCAAATTAATACCTATTGAAATAACTTCTGGATTCTCTTAATTTAAATGTTTTGTCATCTTTCTTTAACCTCTTTTTCAGTGTGTATATTTCCCAAAAAGTACTCTTTGTGAAATCTTTTTCCTATTTGTAAAGTATGTATGTTTTAATATTTTTGTACATATGTAAATATTTCTGTATTTTTTTATGTCAAAGTAAAATAAAGATCTCTTGTGTGTATATATATACATGTGAATTTTGTACCTCTTATGAATAAAATTGTTACAAGCTTAATAAGTAATGTGAGCTTTTTACTTTGATAAACATCTTAGAAACAACTAAATTACGAAACTAAGAGACTGCATTTGTATGTGTGAAGGCGTTGAGTTGGTTCCATTTGTGCCTGTTCATCTGGGAATCTTGTGACATTCCCAGGTTCCATTCTGATCCCAGTATTCTCCCACTCCCAGTATTTAGTAGTTGTGGAGTTGGGTCTTGAAATAAGCATCCCAAGATGATTCAATGCGAGACCAAGGGACACTTTGAGAAATACTAATGTATTAATTCATCTATTACTAAACTAATTAAAACTATGGGTTAAATAGCTACATAAAAACACTAGAAAGATTAAAAATATGTAAAATAGAATGTTATCTTTGACTGCATTCAGAACATCTGTGTTCTGAGCCCAAGACGAGTGTACATACTTTTTTATTCCTTAATTCTAGAGTTGATTGTGTATGAATGTGGAGAAATTCTAAGAGTTTGAACTCAAAAGTCCTAAAGGTATTAAGGGTGGGCCTCAGATCCTCTCAATAGAGCTTCAAAGACTCTCAAGGCCTTTGCCTCTCATCTCAGTGGACGCTTGAGGTAGAGGATTTATCTTAAATGGTTTTATGGGTGTGTCTAATCCAGTAAAACTGCCCATGAAATTATCATCGGTGATGTAAGCAACTTGAGGTAAGATTGACAAAATGGACAACATTCAAAGTATAATTTGGCATTTTGATGTATATACATACATGAAGCCATCGCTGCAATTAAGGTAATGAATATAAGTATCCCCAAATTTCTTCCTGTCCATTTGTAATCCCACCTCAGTTCCCAGGTAATCACTGATCTGTCACTGTTGATTAGTTTGCCTTTTCTAGAATTTTATATAAATGGATTAGTCAGAGTACATACTTTATTATTTTGAGATTCATCCATTTTGTGTGTGCCAGTATTTATAATTCCTTTTTCTTACTAAGCAGTATCCTGTTGGATATACCAGTTTGTTCATACATTCACCTCTTAATGAACATTTGCCTCCCACCCGCCACCGCATTTTTTGCTATTAGAAATGAAAATGCTGGGCGCCTGGGTGGCTCAGTCGTTAAGCGTCTGCCTTCGGCTCAGGTCGTGATCCCAGCGTCCTGGGATCGAGTCCCACATCGGGCTCCCTGCTCGGCGGGAAGCCTGCTTCTCCCTCTCCCACTCCCCCTGCTTGTGTTCCTGCTCTCGCTTTCTCTCTCTCTGTCAAATAAATAAATAAAATCTTTAAAAAAAAAAAAAGAAAATGCTGTAAACCGTGTACAAGTCTTTGTAAGATAAGTGGTGTGTTTTCATTTCTCTTAAAAATAGTAGTGGAATGTTTGGATTATATAGGTAAATGTATATTTAACTTTTTAAGAAAATACCAAAATGCTTTCCAAAGTAGTTACACATTTTACATTTACCAGCAGTGAAGGGAGTTGCATTTACTTCATGTTCTCAACAACACTTGGCGTAGTCAGTTTTTGTAATTTTAATCATTCTAAGAGGTGTGTAGTAGTATATCATTGTTTTAATTTACATCTCCCTAGTAACATGTTTAACATCTTTTTGTGTTTGCTATCCATAAATTTTCTTTGGTAAAGTGTATAATCAAATGATTTGTTTATTAGTGGTATTTGAAGGTATATATTTTAGATAAGAGTGGTATATCAAGGTGTGGCTTATCTTTCATTTTTTTAGCTGTGCCTTAGAGTTTTTATTTTTGATGAAGTCCAAATTATCTAATTATTTGTCTTTTATGGATCATGGTTTTGGTGTTATATCTAAAATGTGCCTAATCTACTTTCTTCTAGAAGTTTTATAGTTCTCAATTTCACATTTAGATCTGTGATCCACTTGTTAAATTTTGAATATAGTATAAGAGGTATGGGCCAAAATAAGTATCTGCTTGTTCCAGCACCATTTGTTGACAAGACTACCCTTTCTCTATTGAAATGACTTTGCATCTTGGTAAAAATCAGTTTTACATAAATATGAACTATTTCAGGACTCTATTCTGTTTAATTGATCCATTTGTCTCTCAAGCTCCAAATCCACACTACCTTGATAACTATCTTTAAAATAAGTCTTGAAATCAGGTAGTGACATAATTCTTTTTCTTTTCTTTCAAAAAAATTTTTTTGAGTTGCTTATCCTCGGTCCTTCGCATTTCTACATATATTTTTTAATTATCTTGCTAGTTTTTACAACAATACATGGTGGAATTTTGATTGGGATTGTAATGAATCCATTAATCTATTAGATCATATTAGCAGAGAATTGACATCTTGAGTTTTTCAACCCTTGAACATAGTTCTATTATTTACATCTTTACAAAGTTTCTCTTAACAATGTTTTATCTTTTAGTTGTACATGGCTTATACATCTTGTGTCAGATTTAACCCTAAGTAGTTTATATTTTAAGTGGCATTTTTTATTTCAATTTTTTCTTATTAGTATATTGAAATGCAATTGGTTGATTTTGTATCCTACAATCTTGCTAAACTCACTTATAATTGAGAAGCCCATCAGATTTTCAATGTAGATGATTTTTGTCTTCTGGATATAAAGACAGTTTTATTTCTTCCATTGTAGTCTATGTGTCTTTTATTTCTTTTTCTTGCCACATTATACTGGCTAAGACCTCCAGGAAAATGTTCAATAGAAATAAAAAAGACATCTTTATCTTGTTCCAGATGTTAGGGGAAAAGCATTCAGAATGACGATAGTTGTCAGTTTTTTATAGATCCTCCTTATCAAGTTGAGGAAGTTTCTATTCCTAGTTTGTTGAAAGTTTTTATAAAGATTAGATGTTGGGTTTTGTCAAATGTTTTTCCTCCATTGATCTATATGCTCATATAGTTAATCTTTTTGAGTTTTTTAATATGAATTTAATTGATTGATTTTCAAATGTTAAAGCAGCCCTGCATTCCTGCGATTAACTCCACTTGTTCATGATGTATTGTCCTTTATAGGTATTGTTGGAATCAATTTGCTTCATACTAACAATTTTTTCATTATATTCATGAGGGATATTAAGCTGTAGTTTTCTTACAATGTCTTTGGGACATATTTTCTGCTTTTCAGTTTTCTGAATATTTGTGTCAAATTGATATTATTTCTTCTTTTACTGTTTGTTAGAATTCTCCGAGGAAACCATCTGAGTCTGGAGGTATTTTTGTTTTTTTGTAGGAAGGTGTTTAAAATATACTTTTTTCGGGCGCCTGGGTGGCTCAGTTGGTTAAGCGACTGCCTTCGGCTCAGGTCATGATCCTGGAGTCCCAGGATCAAGTCCCACATCGGGCTTCCTGCTCAGCAGGGAGTCTGCTTCTCCCTCTGACCCTCTTCCCTCTCGTGCTTTCTATCTCTCATTCTCTCTCTCTCTCTCAAATAAATAAATAAAATCTTTAAAAAAAATAAATAAAATAAAATATACTTTTTTCAGTAAATATAGCATTATTCAGTTATCTGTTTCTTCTTGGATGAGCTTTAGTAGTTTACGTCTTTCAAGGAATGTTTCTATTAATCTAATTTACTTAATTTATTGGAATGAATTGGTCACAATATTACCATATTATCCTACTATTTGTAAAATCTGTAGTGATGTCCATTTCTCTCATTGATGATATTGGTTGATTGTGTCTTATCCCTTTTACTGATGAGAAGTTTATCACTTAGATTGATCTTTTCAAATAATCAGTTTTTGATTTCATAAGTTTTCTCTCTCTTTTCCATATGATTGTTTTTTTGTTTGTTTTTGTTTACTTTCTTCTGTTTACTTGGAGTTTAATTTGCTCTTCTTTTGCTAGATTCTTAAGATGGCCGCTGAGGTCAGTGATATGATCGTTTCTTCTATAGGTGTTTAGTGCTATAAATTTCCCTCCAAGATTTGTGTGAGCAGTATGTTACAAATTCTGATATTTTAATTTTATTAATTTACAAATGCTTAATAATTTTCTTTCTGATTTATTTTTTTATCCACAGGTTATTTAAAAGTGTGCTATTTAGTTTCTCAATATTTTAGAATTTCCCAGGTATCTTTCTTTTATTGATTTCTAATTTCATTGTTGTCAAAGAAGATACTTTATGTGACTTGAATCCTTAGTTTATCGACAAATATTTTATGGCCTAGAATATGACCTATTTAGGTAAATGTCTCATGTCTACTTGAAAAGATGATAAATTTTGCTGTTCTTTGGTGTAATGCCTTATAAATGTCAACCAATTAGGTCAACTTGGCTAAGAGTGTTTTCATATTTTATACTTTCTGATTTTTGTCTACTTGTTCTATTATTGAGAGGTGGATGTTGAAATGTCCAACTGTAATTATGGATTTGTCTACTGTTG